CCAAACACCGCGTAAATCAACGGCGGAACAAAGCTTGAATCTGCACAAACACACAAATCATCATTCACATTTCACATCAATTGATTAAAATCTGCAGATTTTACTCACAAAGGCCGATGATCGGAGGGAGACTGGCGAGCTTGGCGTAGCTGATGCCTTGTGGGATGGCGAGGCTGGTGATGGTAATACCAGCCAGCAAATCGTATTTGAACATACTCAAGTTGTATTTTGGAAGCCATTCCAAAATGGGGACGAAATATTGAACACCCTTCTTCAGTTGCTGCCCAGGCCCATCTTCTTGAAATTGCTTGAACGGATCATCCGGAAAAAACGTCTCTTTCAGATCAGATTTCAGCCGAGTTACGAATGGCCTCGGCGCCGCGAAGCTAACATTATTATTATGCTCACCTTTCACCGAACCCATTGAACAAAAAACAGAGGTCTGAGTTTTTGAGGAGTGTTTGTTTTGTGTGTAATGGAATGATAATATATAAATAGGGGAGGGTAGATTATGGTAAATGGATAAGATAAATATGAATGAATCACCAAAAAGGAGAAACAAGAAAGGGTAAAAGTTGAGGGAGTGGATCTGAGTGTTAACTGCTTCTATTCAAACGGTAATTGCTCGTGTGAAAACTTTGGGGCTACCAAAAACAGGGTGTAGAAAATAACGGCGTTTGTTTGTGACAGTGTAGATGTTCTGGAGTAGAGGTTTTTTCTAATCTGGGAAAATTTGGGTTTCTGTGGTGATTAGTAGTTAAAATTAGAGTGCAAAATTAGGATTAGAGGAGGGAATTCGAGGCAAAAACAAGACCACATGACCTAATCCGACCAATCTCCACTGCAAAACTAACAAACATTAATTGGTCAATGCCATGCAAAATTAAAAAGAAAAAAAAAAGTCAATTTCAATTCCAATCTAATTGTTGTTTAGTTTAAAGTTTAAACACGATGTTATTAGAGTTACTCCAAACACACGCCCATTGGACATTTTAAAAGCAATAATCAAATGAGAGGGATTCTTAGGTTCATTTGGTAAGGTTTTTAATACAAAAACAATTCTTTTTGTGTGGAAAAATTGTTTGATTAATATTTTTTAACTATAGTATAATTTCGATGTGTTATATTTGTAAATTAATATGGAGATGAAATAGATGAACATACAAAATTAAAATATCTTTCTAAATACTTTATTTTAGTAAAGCAAACATAAAGTGTTGGGATTTAAACATTTGACTCAACATAAATGCTCGTATTTACCTCTTCCTAAATAATTTTTAAATTATAGTAATGGTTTCAAAAAAACTAATTCGTAAAAGAGTTTTATACCATTTTAGAAAATAGACCTAAACAACCCTTAGTATGGACCTTTCCTATTAATATTTAGCTTATCCCTGGAGGAATCTGCGATGGAGGTGAAGGTTCCAACTTTTCATCTTAATTGATGATATTTACTTAACCAATAGAGCTATGCTCATATAATCTTTTATTATGACAATTCGAAGAGTTAAAAAAAATTAATGAAGTTTAGAAGCTATTAGGTTGAAATTTCTAGAGAAAAATATTTATACTAATCTTTTATGGTCGGTCTCTTTCTCCCAAGATGTTAAGCGTTTTATATTTTCAAATGAATTTTGTTATTTATTATTTTTGCAATATAATGATCCAATTTGTATTAAAAAAAGGTTCGAGTTAAAATGATCAAACTTCACATAATTTTTAAATAAATTGATATAGTCTTCTATTAATAAATACAGACGTGGCAAGACAATATTACTAAACTTTTTATTTCCTTTTCTTTTCTAACACACGTCAAATCAAAATATTATAGTCACATTCATTTGAGACATTTCTTATTTGAAAGAGTGACATACATAATACATAATGGAACACGATCCTTAATTAATTTGGCAGATGTTTTTGTCATTGATGAATATAAAAAACTGAAAACCTAATTGATCATAAGGAAATGAGATTTAGAAGACAGAAAAAGTATGGAAGCAAAATGGCTTTTGAAATTTGAGTGCGTAAAGGGAAGAACATGAGCTTTTTTCAACAAAGCCTACAAATTAAACTAGGGGAGCTTAAATTGGCAGTGGGAGTGAGGAATTTTTAATTTCCCCTTTTATAATTAATTACTTAATTTGTTTTGTTATGTTGATTGTTGTCAAGGAAGAAAAATTGGATTTAAATACTTCCATCTTTAGGAAGGAGATAAAAGATGTGATTTTTAGTTGAGTTATTGTGTGCGTGCCTCTAGCTACCCACTATCTTGTGATTTTATATTAATTCTTTTTATGTTAATGGAAAATGAAATCAAATCATGAAAAAAAATATATGTATAATTAAGGTTTAGTATGTGATTTTATTGAATCCATTCTCAAATTTTTTTCCTGCTTAAAATTTCGTTAACCAGAGTTGATATATCTTTAAATTTATATTTAAATACGGGACCATGTCACTTGCTACGTACCTAACACAACTTCAATCTCCTTATCAGCGAGATTTGACCCACCGATTAATAGAATTTTAATTTAATGATACATTGACTTTATGTTAACAAATTTCAATTTCAATTTCTGTATGAAAACGCTTAATTGAGAATAATACATTGAGAGTAAAATTAAGAATTTTGGGAGAGTACTGGTTTGAGAAAAATTAATTATTGGTTGACCATTATTTGCTATATTTAACATAAATTTGAGAATGCCTATTTTAAAATTTGATACTCGGTTTAATATATGGGATTCAAGTGGATGTGTAATGAAAAAAAAAATCAATAACAAAAGACAAAAAAAAATGTTTTATTTGAAGAAGAAAATACAATAGTTGAGAGTTGAAGGATTATTCTAATGGTATGAGATTAAAAGAGATTTTAGATTGTACGCTTAGCCATATAGATTAAATTCTTGAGGTGAAGTGTAAAACACAAATTGGGTCAAATATATAATTGACTACCTTTTCAATAATAAATTAAAAACCATATTTGAATTCCTTCACAGAGGGACTCAACTGGAACATCTTCATTTGGGAACATTTTCCATGAGTAAATGTAAACACTTCTAAAACCCTAAACTTCAATTTGATTTTCCAACCCATTATTAATTGGGTAATTTTCATATTGGGACAATGAACATGGACCTAGCTATTATAGTAATAGCTTACAATTTGATATTATGTGCTGATTTTTGAACAACAACAAGAATATATCTAAATTCAAACACTATCTTTGTTGAGAACGAATTATTGGGTAACTTTTAAACATTTAGAAAGGTGTTGGAATAAGTGTTCAAACTGCATGCAAGCCCTGTAAAAGAAAGGAAGTAAACTCCGACGCTTAAATTAGTAGAAACTAAAGTGTTCCATCGACGAGCAATCCAAAACATGCCTACTTGCATAACAAGATTGTGGAATCTACATGGTGATTATGAGATACTGTCAGTAATCTATGCTTAAGTTTGGTGATAGTAAGAACTAATTGGCTCGATCTTGATAGTTTTTGAGATCAGGCTGAGGTATAGTTCTTCTGGAGATATTATTCCTCAGACTTCTTCAAATCTTTCGTGAACTGCCACGTGGAAGGTCACTTTTTCACGCGCCAACAGCAGTCCTCCATGGGCCAAGGATTGAGAAGTATGGTTGAACAATAATCAATGGGAAAAAGTGAATTAGAATGCACCCATTGACAAGGCTCGTGCGTGGCCTCCATTAATGACCTCATTTAATAACAAAAAACCCTCGTTTGTATCAATAATGCATTAATGGAAGATTAATTCCCAACTTCATATAATGGTTATATGGCCGAGGAGGAGGATAGAGATCCAATTCCTTTGAAATTTTTAGGTTGATCTGAGTTGAAATTAACTTAACAATTTGAATCCAAATATTTGTAATCTGTAATTTCTTCTTAATTCCCTTTTTGAGTCCATACATGGAAGAAAGGGTTAAAGATATATTAGACTTTGGCCTTTGGTGGCTGCAAAAGTCAGAATTTGGGTGTGAAGGGGGAATTTAATGAAGAAGCAGAGCTCCATAGATATGGATAAATTGGATTTGGAGAAGCCCACTTACATATAAATGGCGTTTGTTGACAAATAATTATTGCAAATTTCCACTTCTTTCAACTTGTGGATCTATATTTGCGCCACCTTCCCCTTCTCTATCCCTTTTCATTTTTATAGAGTTAAATAATTTCGAGCATGAAAATATCGACCTTTTCAAGAGGATAATAAATGTATTATTCATTAAGTTAACTATATTTTTAAGGTTAAATATAGAGCTAAATAGATCAATACTAATGTATTATTAAGTTATTATTTATCATACACTTGACCATTAATAAATTAACGTACGGGCTAAAAGAAGAAAGGTAAGTATCCTAACTAATTTGATCTTCTAGTAAGTGCTTGAGTACGTATATATAAACATACTCTTGATAGATAGATAGATATAGATATATATATATTCAAAGTTTTGATTCTATGCCATAATTAATGATGTTTGTGCCCTTTTAATTAATCTAGAGAATTACTAATTGAGCAAAATTTTATTGATCATGGTAAATATTACCGAACCAAAAGTCGAAAATTTGAATTTTTAGTCCACATATGTTGCTGATCTCAAAAAAAAAAAAAAAAACACACACAAAAAAAAAGAAATAAAAGAGAAGAATATACGAAGGTATACATCATAGATTTCCCACTTGTGATATATGTCTTTAATTTATTTATAACTTTTTTTCTAATCACTCCCATTAACTTTAACTCAAGTATTAAATATTAAATATTAATATGTGGACATTTTCGTCAAATATCTATAGATTCAATGTCAAATATGGAAGGGTATTGCAAAAAAATTAATAAAATATGAAAAATATCATTAATATAGACATATTATTAATATTAATCATTTTAAACTCGTCTCGAAATGCTGAAATACATATTTCTTAATTTAAATATTTTTTTACGAATTTTTTATTTTTATAAAATTTCTAGAAATATTCATCAAATATTTCTATTGACATTTCTATAATTATTATCAAAATAGAACTCATAACATGTGTGGTGGGGGAATCGAACTCATAACCTAAAAGTTGTGAAATATATCAACTAGCAAACAGTAAAAGGAGATAAATTTTATTATGTATGTATTAGAATTCAAATTAATTAAACCTAATGTGCCCCATTTTAGAGACAATTGCTACAAAATCAAAGTTGAAATATTAATTTAACCACCCAAAAAGCTACTACACTTGTTCATTAGGGGTGTTTTTTATTAATAATGTTAATAATAAAAGTTATTTTAAAAATATTGTATTTTAATTAAAAATGTTTAAAATATGGTATATTTTGAAATTTTTTTTAAAATATAGTAGTTTTAAAAAAGTGAACATGGTCGTCTAGAGACGACTATGCAACGTGGCGCCACGTGGCGAAATTTAGGAGGTGGTCGTCGGTCGGTTTATTTTTGGAAAAAAAAATAACATTTGTTATATTATATATTATTTAGTAGTTTAAATCAAAGAATTGCTTAGTGGTGTAGTGGATGTACTATTACCTGGGTGACATTTCCATCCAAAGTTCAAATCCTGCATGTCATGCAAGTTTCGAACTTTAATTTTATAACCATAAATCATCTATTTTCTATTTTTTACTTAACATAAATAATAGTATAAACAATAATATATAAAATAATAGAACATACAATAATATATAGAATAGAAATAATAATGTATAAAAAAAGAAGTTTGGATGGAAATGGTAATATTAAGTAAAAAAAGAGACAAATAAATAATAATAATATATATATAAAAAGAGAGATGATTAATGGTTATAAAATAAAAAAGTGTGTTACCCAAGATTCGAACTTGGTTGGGGTGGAAGAAATATTGGGTAGTAGTACATCCACTACACCACTAAGCAATTCTTTACATTAGAACTACTAAATAATATATAATATAACAAATTTTATTTTATTTTTTTCCAAAAATTAACCGACTAGAGACGATCATCCCACGTGGTCGTCTGACCACGTGCAAATTTTTTTAAAAATTTACGTGGCGCCACGTTTAAATGGTCGTCCGACCAACCTTCTATTTTTTAAAAGTACAATATTTTAAAAATAAGTTTCAAAACTTACAATATTTTTAATATTTTTAATTAAACAATTATATTTTTAAAATAAGTTTCATTTAGAACAATATTTAAAAAAAAAATCCGTTCATTAGCTATAGGCATGAAAAAGAACAAATTGGAAAGTTCACCCAAAAGAACACAAAACTTGACTATTATTTACTTATATGACCATTCAAGGTTTCAAAAGCAAGGCCCAAATGGGGAAAAATTCAGGCCAGATCCGGAGGGGGAAAAAAGAAGCCCATTTGAAGTTTGGGCTGCGCGTGAGATCGGATATTGACGTCACAAGTTACACGAGAGAAGCTCGAGGTTAATCACAAGACAAGACACAGAATTAAATTGAAATTATTTGGTTTGATTCTTTGTATATCTTTTTTTTTTATGGTAATTCACATTAAATATTATTAATTTGAAACTTATTTTCATAATTAATTTATTGAATATAATGCGTTTGGATTTTTAGTTGTATCATGTAACGTAACCCATTGGAATCCGGTGTGGTCGCTGATTTTTTGTGTAAAAGTTAAAAAGTAAACCACCATTCGTGAATCATGTGGATAGGCATAGGCTCCACCAAATTAAACCAATTTTTTTTTATTTATTAATTTTTTTCCTTTTCTAAATTTGCAATGTGTGATGCATAGCATATACAACAACAATAATAATCATTAACAACCTGTCCATTATTATTAAAACAAGGGTATAGACTTATCACTTATGGTATAGGTGTAGAACGTAATTAAAGCCAAGGAGTGTTGAGCAAAGGAGTAACCACGCTTTTGACTTGGAGATACTTGTGGATAGCATGCATTCCGGAGTCTCTACCGAACCCACTCATTTTGTAGCCTCCAAAGGGGCTGCTCGCGTCGAAAGCGAAGTAGCAATTGATCCATATCGAACCTGCTCGGATCGACCGAGACACTGTGTTCGCCACGTCTATGTTGTTCGTCACGATCCCTGCTGCCAGCCCGTACTTTGTGTTGTTCGCGCTCTTTATTCCCTCCTCAATCGTCCTGCCAACACAACACAACGCCACTCTTCAATTCAATTCTTACTTACCCAAACATACACATTTTATCTGATTTTGAATTTAATTTGCGTACTTGAATTTTATGACCGACAGCACCGGCCCGAATATTTCGTCCTGGGCAATCAGCGAGTCTTCCTGTGAAGTGTAATTAAAATAACTCAGACTTGGTTCGACGAAGAGAATAATTAATTAATTAATGTAATTAGAAATTCAGAAGGAATGAAACCTTGACATCTGTGAAGATGGTGGGCTGGATGTAATACCCCACATCGCCAATCCGCTTCCCACCGGCCAGCAAGGTCGCCCCTTCTCTCTTCCCATGTTCTATGTACGATAGAATTTTCTCTAATTGCTTTTTATCCACCTGAATTTTTTCACTTTTCAGTTGGTCAGACTTGGGATTGGGATTGGGATTGGGATTGGGATTGGGATTTGGATTTGATTTGATTTTCAACTAAAGCAATTATATTACCTGGGGTCCATATTTCACTTTAGGATCAAAAGGGTCTCCCACCACCCAAGACTTAACTTTTTCACTAATCTTTTTCACAAATTCGTCATAGATCCCTTCTTGAACCAACACTCGGGAGCTGGCCACGCAAATTTCGCCCTGCATTTCCACACTCATAAATCTCCATTGTTGTTTAAGCTTGATTAGAATTAGAAAGAAACCTTGTTATAAAAAATGCCGAGGAGGGCGAGTTCAGCGGCCTTATCGACATCCGCATCGTCGAAGATTAGGAGTGGCGATTTGCCTCCTAATTCGAGTGAAACCTGCTTCAGATTGCTAGCAGCTGCCGCCTGCATTATTAGCCGTCCCACCTTCGTTGAGCCAGTGAAGCTCACCTGATGATCAAAAACCAACAAAATCAGACAGCCGATTCCATTACCTTCGTTTCACACAAGTTGGTACGGTCACTTACCTTGTCCACGTCCATGTGGGAGGCAAGGGCTGCTCCGGCAGTGGACCCAAAACCAGTCACCACGTTTAGTACTCCATCTGGAACTCCAGCCTGCACCACAAAAATATATCCACCGCTGAATTCCAATTTAAATTGGTTGGATTTATAAGGTGAATGTAAATACAAATAAAGTTCCACCTTGATCAGGAAAGAACATAAATCATAAGTTGATTAAGGAAGATAAGATAATCATTTGTACAAATTATTTTGGATGAAATTAAAAGTTAAAGTGTTACGCCCGAAGCGAACAATATCATACAATTGTCTGTAATAACATTATTTATATATTTCTTCACTTTATAATTTTATGAATTAATAGAGATCCATGATGGTAATCAAGAACAAAGTGGTGATGTGATTTAAAATAGACTATCTTTGTACCACGTGATCCATATCAATTAGTTTTAATAGAAAAAAGAACAAACACTAAGGTCCTATTTTATCGGTCAATTTCAAAAAAGATGTGATAATGCACGGATGGAATGATTATGGGTATCAATATGGGTGGAGAAGGGGGCAAATTGTTCTTTAAATTTTCAAAATTAAATGATTGTATATATATATATTTTTTGTTTCTTCCTCATGAAAGCAGTTCTAGCTCAGCCTATCGAAAAGATGGTGAATTTGAAGGCGACCATGTAGAAATGAAATATGAAAAAGAATAATAATAAAAGAAAAAGAAAAAGATTGAAGTGGACTAGAAATGTCCACCCACGCTACATGTCCAAGATGAAAACCAAAAGCTATAATAATAACAAAAGTCCAAAAAGAGTTTTAATATATAAAATTGATAAATAAAAAAGATTTTTCCGAGAAGAGTACGGACCAGGTTGGCGAGATGGGCGTAGAAGAGGGCGGAGAGCGGCGTTTGCTCGGCGGGCTTTACGACCATGGTGCAGCCGGCGGCCAACGCCGGGCTCGTCTTCAAGAAGAACATGGTCGTCGGAAAGTTCCACGGAATGATGTGGCCCACCACGCCAATGGGCTCCAGCAACGTGTACCCGTGAAACGGCCTAGCCATTTTCAAAACCTCCCCGTGGATTTTATCCGCTGCACCTGCGTAGTACCGTAGCGTGTTCGCAGCCGACGGAATGTCCCCAATCTTCCCCATCATAAACGATTTTCCCGCGTCGATCGTATCCAACGCTGCCAATTCCTCCACGTGTGCATCAATCAAGTCCGCCAGTTTCATCATTATCTTCCCCCTCTCCTGCACGCAGTTAAATAGATTAATTAAACACCCAAATTGCTAATTTTCTTCATTTTGTAGTTTCTGATGATGGAAGACCATGTTACTTTTGTGGGGAGCATCTCACTGGATTCGTCCCAATTTCGTGCATTATAAAAACTTTATGGTGACAATTATTAACATAAAAATAAATGTCAATCCAATGCGTTGTTCGGACTATGAGTTTTCTTTTTCCTTCTTAATTTGCACAAGTTGTCACTTGTCACACGATTTCGTTGACATCGAAATAATGCCCACTTGATTTGGTCCATAGTCTACCGACTTGGTTCCAGCCATGTGGGCTATGTTATTTAAGCCTAATTGTGAGCAAAAAAATTCAAACATTTAAAATATCTAACTATACTCCACTGCGTGGAAAAAGAAAATTAATGTGATATGACGTTGATTTGACTTATATTTTATCAACTAAAATCATAATTTTTTAACAAAACGGATATAATTTAATAGAAAGTTTCGAATTTCTCAAAATCACTCTATTAAAAAAAAAATCTTTCATATTTTTTAAGTTTCATTAATATGCCATTGGTTTAAAATATTGGAACGTGTACGTAAACGACACCAATGGCTATGAATAACGTTGATATGAAAGAGAGAAATATACAGAGAAGACAAAATGTACAAGCCAAAGCTTTTAATGGCTATGAATTTGCAGTGAGTTAACACCATGGGATTTGAGGGAATAATAAAAGGATATTTAAGGACGCGCGCGAGTTAGATAAAATTAAAAAGAGAAATTTAAATAATAAATATATATATATATATATTTGGAATAAAGTAGAAAATATTTAGCCATTGACCAATCAAAATAAGAGAGATGGGAATTCTTTTTAGCGACACCAGCAATATTTAGAATGTGAGAAAGAGGAAAATAGAATTTGATAACCGAATAGATATACTTACGGCGCCGGGCATGCGGGGCCAAGGGCCGTGGTCGAAGGCTTCACGGGCGGCTTTCACCGCCAGATCGACGTCGTCTTTGTCTCCGGCGGCTACCGTCGCGATAACCTCACCGGTTCTTGGATCTATGGTCTCGAACGTTTTCGCTGTCCATTTTTAATTTTAACCAAGTTTAATTTATCGTCAGCACCAAATTAGACTAAAAGAAAATGAAAAATGAAAACTCATATTGGTATAATATAATAGGAAAATTGGGGGATAAGAAATCGTGGAGCAGGAGCACGACAATCGAGGGGGTAGAGAGATAGATACCTGAAAGAGAGTCAACGAATTGTCCATTGATGAAGAGGTTGGTGAACTTGATTTTGGGTATGTTGGGATGGGATCGAGAGTCTCCGTTGGAGTGACTGTCCATGTTTGTGTGTGTGTGAAGTTGAAGGGAAAAGGGAAAAATATGAATCTCCGGTGCGTTTTTGGAGGGGAAAAGCAAAGAGGAGTTTAAATAGGCGAATTTGCACCGCTGCGAACGCGAACGTTGAAGTCCAACATCTCGGGGCTCTCCGTGTGGTAACTTTTTCCCAACTTCTTTTAAACGGGGACTCCTTTTTTACTCTTTACTCTCTCTCTCTTATTCAAATAAATAAATAAATAAATAAATAAAACTCTTTACTCTCTCTCTCACACAAAAGACAAGACCAAATTACTTGACGCATATCACAAAAACGTTTCGTTGTTGGATGCAGCGGAGTTCCACGTAGTGCCCCTCAGTTTGGGTCAACATAAATACATTGTGTAAATCTATGATACAAAAACTAACTCTAATGTCCTTTTTTCCGAAATTCTATCAATTTTATGCCCATGTATATTTTATAATCGATTTGACATATGTGTCCATACGTTTCTCAACCATTTTTTCAGGTGAAAATTGTAATATTTATCCATATTTAATTTGATTCATTTGAAAGTTTTGGGATAAAAATATATATAATATTATAAACTCCGCGCTCCATTAATTTTTATATGAATTTGTGCTCCTCAAATAAAAGTTTGAGTCCACCACTCATTAGGTGGTCAGTACCTATTGTGTCATTAGCAGTTAATAGTAGCTCCTCAAATAAAAGTTTTATATTTGTTGTCAAAACGTTAATAGTAGTGTACAAAAGATAAGTATTAATTAAGTAGTGCTAAAATGGAAATATTTCAGCTCGACAGTAGCTTTTACCCAACCATATACTACATTACGCTCCACTATATACAAGGTAATTCAATCCATCAATGCAATAGTAATCTTTATTTATTTATTTAGTTCGTTAACAACCTCAGAAATTTAGAACTTTAAACTATAAAGAGTATTAAATCTTTCTTTCCTTTTTTTGTATATTATCTTCCTGAATTTAAAAAGCAATTTAAATTCCTAAATTTTTAGGTCTAGTTTCATTTTAATTTCTAAACTTTTAAAAAATGTATTTTAGTTCCAAGTTTTTGTTAAAAATAACTGTGATAATTTTTATTGACTTTAGCAAAAATGGAACAAAAAAATTCAGCAAATGGGACGATATGTTAACCATGATAATTTAGTACGTATACATAAATGTATATTATATACATCTTAGAATATTAATATTTTGAAATAAAGATACCCTATTGCATTAACTATTTATCAATAAGATAATTGAATAATTGAATAATTGAAAAAGTCAGCTTAATTTGGAAATATTTATGAATACAGGGATGTACATGGGTCAGTCGAGTCAATTTGCAGGTTGAAATTCTCGACGATCGATCGATTAAGTAAGATTATGCCTACCAATCGAACAAGTATAGTTGGTCGGTTGTCTAAAAACCGATCTTTCTCTCTTTTATATATATATTACAAACATGTTCTGGGGTGGGTTTGCAACAAATTTACTGGTAGGAGCTGTTCGGGGTGGGTTGCTACGAATCTAAGCGACGGGATGGGATTGAGTTGCGGCAAAGAGCATCGGAGTCAAGGTGTTGGCTGGCTGGGTTGCTAGTGAAGGGTGGCAGCGGGAGGCTGGGTTGTTGGTGAAGGGGAGAGGAGAATGAGAAGTGAGATGGGAAGCTGAAGGAGGAGGATTTGTTGTTGGGGGCAAAACTTCACCATTTGAAAACCCTAATGTTAAATTTTATAATACGTGTATAAGTTTTTTTAAAAATATATATGTTGGTCGGTTTTGGGGTTTTTCCCTACCTGACCGATCGAAAGTTTGAGATTTTTCCAAATCGATCGGTTGATGAAACCGATCGATCAACGTCTATACGGTTGATTTCAATCTATTGGATCGGTTTTTCGACATATGATGTACACCCCTACAATTTACTTATACTAAAAAGTGAGTGTTATAGAGATATATAAACATCCGCTACAAGATCCACTATTCTTAGTTTGGACGAAGTCACATATTATTACATGTGAACAACCCACCTCCAGCAATAGAAGTGGAGCTCACCTTAGCCACGCGCAATGTAGGCCCCACTTTAACTAGAATGAGGTGGAAGACACCTTGGAGTCTTCAACCTCAAGTTGCATTGATGTATGTTGTACATTACTACATGTATCCGATAGATGTGTCGATCCTAATATGCACTACAAGTAATATAAACTCAAGTATAGAATTACTTGTAGGTAGGGTTGTTCTTTAGGTCTCCTATAAATAGCGGAACTCATCTCATACTCAGTTACATGACAGAATCCTAGTTCATTTCACACCACCTTGATCTAAATATAATTTAAATATTGAGTGTGCACTGATACAAATTTCTTGTGTAGGTCATCACCAACTCGGATTTAAAGCCAACAAGATTCTCCTCTGCTAGAATCAGGCATGAATTGTAGGAAATTATAATTTATTAAATTTAATTTAAAAAAAAATGTTGTGAATTTTTACATTTATTTTTAAACAACTTAAAAATTCCATCAATTTCGTCTATCAACTAAGGAGACTAAAATCAATAATTATATTAAAAATCTATTTTCAACCTAATTGTAATAATTTTTTTAAAACTTAATTGTAACAATTAATGGGTAGCTCACAGTAATAAATATTCAAACTCAATAAGAATTAATATTATTCATTTTAGTACCAATAACGTATATCCGTTGCAACTAATAATAATGTTCAACAACAAATTTTCTATTTTAAATTCAATTGCAATTTCTCTTTTTCTTTTAAAAAAGTTAAATTGCAACAAATAATAAGAATGAATTTAGAAAAAAAGAAAATAATTGCAATAAATAATGAGAATTCAAAACAATTCCACCCAAGAAATTTATAGTATTTTAGTTAATTTCCAAAGTTCAGCTAACACCTATTATTCGAGTTGTATTAAAATATCTTACTATTTCTCAAAAAAAGAAAAAAAAATATTTTTTCCATTTTAGTACAACATGTTGGAGAGGGGATTTGAACTCATAACCTTATGATTGGAATGAAATTATCGCTACGCTCTATCTTTGATTGAATTATCGCTGAGCTACTAACACCCATTTTAGTACAACATGTTAATTATCGCTGAGCTACGCTCGCTTTGATTTTTTCTTTTCTTTTTTAAGATAACGAAGGAATGAAACTTTAATATATATCTTGATTAGTTGATATAATTTGTTTAATTTAAGACTAGGATTTTTTTTCTTCTACGCTCTATCTTTGATTGAATCAATATTATTAACACATACAACTAGACTATAAGTTGATAGTGAAAAACAAAATATTATTTAAATGGTAATTGTAAAAATATGAATTTGTAACACCTATATTTTATTTCTAGAACTTGATACTCACTTAATTATTTACTTTAATATATATGTCTACCCCGATAATATACTAATAAATACATTTAAAACTAAAATAACTCATATGTAACCATTAAATAATTGATTGAGAGGTGAAGATAAAAGACTTCAGAACAAATCGAATGAAACCTGGCGAAAAAGAAGTGAACACTTTATTGAGGAACGGAGCTTCGTGTTTGTTTTTCTTCAAACCTTCAATTCGCGTCTCCACTGGATCTGTTTCCGGGGTACCCTAAAAAAAGGAACTTTTCTTGAATAGGAAAAAACGTGACATAAAAGTTTCTAACTTTCTTAACTACGATGAAAAGTCTTCGATATATCATGAATGCACTTCGGATTGTTGATTCATCGCCAGAGATGGCTTAGAACCAATAGTTCATTATCTAATGGATTTTTCCGTTCTAATACTCCATCCATCCTAGAGTTATCAGTATTTATCAAATATGTTCCTATCTAACAGTAATAATTCTTTTTTATCTCCAAAAAAAATTCTTAAAAAAAAAGGCATCTAATATAATTTATCAATCAAGATTTAAAACCCATTTAACTAGAAAAAAGAAAGTCAATGCTTCTCGAGATATTTTGAAGACACATTTTCTCAATCAATATATGATTTCGAGGTGTCATTATCAATTCAGATCATTCAATAGAATTTTTAAAAAAGGCCAAATAATAGAAAAGATAATATTTTGATATCTTTGAAAAATTCAAAGATTAAACATCGAGACGTGACTGCAAACTCTAGGGGCACAGTTAAATATCATTAATTAATTAATATTATCCCTTTGAACTCCAAAAACAATTTTAGAAAATATTAATTAATTAGTGGTATCCATTATCACACGATAAAGCCTTTTGATCTTGTTACTCTTCGGTCCAATCGTATGCAACTAAAACAGCGTAAATTAAGCCGAGGGACGACATGTATGTTTATTTAAACATATTAAAATATCTCAAGTTCGTAATTTGATTTAAATATTTCTTTGAAAACAAACAAAATACTTTTTAAAAATTCTATTTTATTAGTTTAACCTATTTGAAATTGTAATAATATCTTTTCAAATGTGTCATACTTGGATTGATAGCAAATCTATAGTTTGAAATATACAAATTCATATATTTAATATAGACTCAATTTTTTAACTTTGACTTTTTTTTTTTTTTTTTTTTTTTTGAATATAACCTAACTTTTATGTTATACAAACTTTAACATTGGAGCTAAATATTTATTAACACCTCTACCAAGAGACTAAGAGTGCTTAGACATCCCTAACCTAGCCAAGGGGTTTAATTAACTAGGAGTAGTAATTGGAATTGATTATTGCTAAATAAATGGTAGATTATTATTATTATTATTTTGAATATTTAAACTTTAGACCTCAAGGAAAGAAATAGATCGATATCATTTACTGTTAAACAATATGCATGTTGGCGAAGAATTAGTATTTATTCAACACCTTAATTAGAGAAGAAGAGACACATTTACATAAATAATATAAATATGTATTTTTAAAAAATTCAAGAAGTTTTATATTTTTCTAAAAATAACACAATTCAAATCTGACTTAAATTTATGTAATGCATAATAATAGAAGAAAATTTTATGCTATAATTGTAAAAAGCCAAAAATTTATACCATTTCCAAAACTACTTGTTATGTAATGAAAATTTTTTTAAGCTATTATAAGAAATCGAATAATTATATACGGCAA